GGGACTATAGGAGAAGTGAAGCAGAAAGAATCTTTGTGACAATGACAACTTCAGAACTCTAGATAACCAGCCTGCTGGGTGTTTCTAAACCTTCTGAGGGGAGGTGAGTCAGTGGAGCGGTCATGTGGAAAATCCCCTTTCTCCTCAATGCACGGCCATTCCCATGCTAAGGTAAGCCCTCATCCCCACCAGGCCGGGATCCCAGCAGGCTAGGAGAAAACACCCATTTCTGAGAAGGAGCTGTATTTGTGTAAACTGGGAGGACTGACGGGTTGGGTCATGTCGTTCACTTGACAACTTATGGTTTCAAGAAGGACTCAAGTGTGTCCAATTTGCTAGCACCTCATTAGACAGAGAAAGGGCCCGATCCGGCCAGACCACAGTGCTGTGGGGACATGAGGGAGGGAGGGAGGCTCGGCATCCCTCCGTCCACATCTGCCCAGTCTCCCCTGTGCGCTTTGGGGCAGCATTCATACTTGGAAGCTTCCGGCAGCATTCCCGCCAGCCCAGCACACCTCGGGTCCGTGGAGCCTTCCTGGGGCACCGTTCTCGGCAGGTTTTCTTGACCTCGGCCTCAGCACCTGGCAACTGTGCCCACCAACTCCGATGGGCCCGTGCACGTACCAGCCGGGCAGCCAGCAGCTACGACAACTGCTCTGCTTGTGTCCTCAAACCAAGGGATCGCCCGCCGTGCCACAGGCAGTCTGCCCCCTCGGCCAGCACTCCACCGAGGATGGGCTGGGGCACTCACGGCTGCTGGCGCAGGAGTCCTACCAAAGGTCTGCAATTTGGGGAGCCAAGATTCAAGATGTGCTTTTTATTTTCACGCAGGCAGCTCAGTTCTTGTGACTGTTTTCTGCAGTAGATGTGGTCTGATATTGGACCACACCTACAGAAAGGGCCACCTTGAACTTCACATGGTACCTCCTAGCTAGAGCGCTGAGGCAGAGAGGCTGAGCCAGGCTGCAGTGTGAGGAATGTTTCAGGCACTCGCTCAGCATCACCGGAGTGGGGAAGGCTGATTCTACTGCCTTGCTCCAGTTATAACAGCCAAAGCTCCTTCAATGAGCTCTTGTCTCCTGATCTGGGGGAGGAGCATTTCCCGGGAAATGGCCACTTTCCCCTGAACATCCTTCCTGCTTTTCCAAGGGAAGCAGGGGAGGCACAGCAGGTGATCACCTCAGGAAGTTTTTGTCCCAGTGAGGATCTTCGCTAGGGCTGTTGTCTCCTACCAAAATTGGAAATGACTGCTGCCAGGTGTGTAAGAAACTCCCTGGAGGACAGAATGAGGAAGTGTGATCATTTATGTTCGATTTAGAAAACGAAGGTCCAAGTGCAGATTGGCAGCAAGAGGTCTGTCTTCTTGCCAATTTCCATCACTGAAAGGAGAGCACGATTTTTAAGATGTGACAGTTGTGGGGGGAGTGGGGACAAGGAGCATCTGGACCAACTCTGAGAGCGAAGCCTTATGAGGCAAGCTTAAGCCCTTTGACTGAGGGAGGGATTTTTGGATTTGATCCCAAAACAGGCTAACCAAATGCCCTGGTTTGCCTGGGATAGTCATGGTCTCTGCCAGCCACCCAAGTTGAATTTTCAGTGGTGCCCCCTTTCACTTTAAAAAAAGTCCAGATTTGGCTGGTAAGTTCTATGATCACCCTATGCCAAAGAAGAGAGAGAGAGAGAGAGAGAGAGAGAGAGAGAGAGAGTGAGCGGGCTATGGCTGGAAATGAATCCAGAAGAGTGACAAGTAGGATGGGGGATTCTGAGAAAGTTGATTTTGCTGAGCCTGAAGGAAAGAGGCAGGCAGTTGAGGCCGGTCCATTCTCAAGCGTGTTCAGAGACATAGGCTTGTTGGCCATGTCCAGGCATAGATTTGAAGAGTGTGGATGCTGGAAGGGTCTCTGGCAGGTCATCTAATTCATTTCCTCTTTCACCACAAGAGGACACTGGGCTAAAAGAGATAGAAGTGACCTGCCCAAGATCACACCTGGGCCCCAGTAGCGTGGGGCCCAGCCTCGCGCCCGGAGGGTCAGGCCTAGGTGCTCTGTTCTGGAAGAGAGGGAAAGGGATGGCTCTGAAAGAGGCTGTGGAGGATTAATCCCGTACTGCGTGTAACACGGCTGCCTCAGAGCCGGGGGAATCGCAGGCTGTGCCGCAGATCTGAGGCTGAGGAGGGAGGACGAAGATGCGAGAGGTTCAGACCGGCCGGGCAAGAGTGGGTGTGGGGCTAGAGTTGAGGGGTAACTGGGCTCTCCAGGGCAGTGACTGCAGGGGACCGAAGAGACTAATTGGCCAGCAGAATTAAGAATGAATGAAGAAACAGGTATGTATGGACACGAATGGGGTCACATAAGTACTTTATAGAATTGAAATCTTTTCTTTGGTTCAAATTATAGCAAAATCGTACAAAAAGGCAAACCCTAGTGACCTCTGTCTTATCCCTTGGCCCCTCTTTCCTAGCCCCTCGGCAGGGCTGCAGCGGTGGGAAAAGTCTAAGTCAGTAACAGTCTTGGCCTCTACCTGGTAGGTGAGGAAACTGAGTCATGAAGAAGCCAGCTCCCTTCCGTCTCATGGTGCTCTTAACAAACGGGGTGTGATTAGGGACAAGCCACAAGAGCGATTCTACCAGACAAGCCACAAGAGCGATTTTGTGGTTTCACTGCAGTTTGACCTCCCATGCAGCTCTGGTGTGGTGGAGGGGGTGAGGTGGTAGACTTTTCTGTGAATCTACTCATCTGGATGGAGGTCCCAGGCAGAAGCCCAGCTTGAGGCTCCAGAGACCTGGCTTTCTGGTCCCAGTTCTGCTGTCTGCTAACTAGCGGTGGGAGGGTGGGGAGTCACTTCTCCTCTCTCCCCTCCTCTTCCTGGTTGTCAGATGAAGACTCTCACTTCTGCCACCTCCAAAGTCTCAAACCCTGGCTCTGTTTTTCCAGAGATATCTGACCTTGGCTCAACCAGTATCTGACCTTGGTTTAGCTACATGTTCAACTCTTGCATCTTCTTGTGGTCTATGTAGAGAGCACACTTGCTGATCTGGATGGAATAACTGTCCCTAGGTCTCAGTCATCTCTGACAGGTACAGGCACAACATCACTGCATGCAAATATCATTCACAAAAACCCCAGCATATTTGGTTCGGAGCTATAGGTTTTGCCTCCAACAACTTGTCACCCAACGAAGTTGAATTAAATATTGAAGTTTGTTGCAGATCATCTTCAAAGTGAAGAGCTCAGCCCAGTAAACATATAGTAGACTGTAAGCTGGTTGTAATCAAAATGATCTCCCGTCGCCCTGAGCAAGTTCTCCCACATAACATCTACAAAAATCCTGCACACCATTGTCACACCCACGTACTGCTCTCTGATATGTGACATTAGAAACCTCAATCCCCTGAAAAAAAAATCATAAAATAGTTTCAGTATATATGAACTGAGCACACATTTTGTTCAGTGAAACTTCTTTGATGATGCCTGTTCAAAAGCCTGCAAATATTGAGAAAACACCCACAGACTCGTCCTTGGCCGCCCTGGTACATTTTGCAGAAACCAACAGGGAAGACGGAAAAGACTGGATGTCCCTGGAGATCATGCACATTCCAGGACACCTCAGGCTATCTCAGAGTCACTGAGGCCTCCCACGTCCCCAGCAGTACCAAGCAGCACACAGGAGTGTGTTCGGCACACAGAAGCAACACTAGACGGAATAAGAAGGAAGGGCTGAGAGGCTCTGTGCTCTTGTCACCTTAGTGACCGGGGGTCAAGAGGTGAGTGTCTGGGACCCAAGAGCCGCTTCAAGGCCACGGAAATACAGCCTGTACCTGGGAGGAAAGGTCCTTGGGGAATAGATGTCAGGTCAGGAGACCGAGGACTAACTGTGAAAAACCTCAAAATACCGAGAAAAGCTTGTGTGCATGACTTGATGGCGTTCAAAGTCGTTGTAGCATACCCAGGACTCTGGTGGAGCACGTCTCCCAGACAGATCCATCATTTGGTATCAGCACTTCTTTATTATAAAATTAACATCACTGAAAGCTTCGAAAAAAATAAGACAGACCAAAAATATCACACCTTAGGCAAATGAGTTGGAAATCCCTTATAGTGACGCCCTATTTTTTCCACCCATCTCTAAAGTTGGAGGACACCTGGTATGGTGTTTAGGTAAGAGATGCAGCTCCTGGACCACACGGTTTCCTGACGGTACAGAATTGAAATGACGTCATGGAAATGCATATGTCTCAAGGTCACTCTAAGTATGGTTTCTAGGTGAAAACATGAGTCTTAGTCATTGGTGGAAAGGTGGTTGTGTGCCTTTGTGACCTGCTGGTCTCCATCGCTCTCTGCCTTCAAAGGCAAAGTTTTCATTAAATTCATTCAGGCTCCCAGCCAAGTTTTCCCACACTTTGGGCTCACCTGGAGGTACAATCTAAATGTAGGTTATACCACACTTGTGCTCCTTTGTCATTCACAAGGAAATAAAACAACTGCTACCCAGAAAGAGCGAAGTTTGTCTTCTGCTCAAGGGCAAGGAATCTATGACATAAGATGCCTACTCCAGCGGTTAATCTGAACAGTCTCATTTGTGTAGCGTTCCCCACGGTGACGAAAGCGAGGATGTGGCAGACACAGAACGTATGGAATCCTTTGTCTTAATTAAAAAGTACAGTGAGAGTCATGGAATTTGGCCAAGCCTCATAAATCTGCTCAAAGAATCAAGATTCTGTCAGATAAGCTTAAATAGAACCAACGGGGCCCTCTGGAGAATTAAATAGATTCCCTGCTAGTAGCTGACACCCACTCTCCTGTCACTTTGCTGCACCCCACGGACGGCGGCTGTGCTCATTAACCAGCAACCCTCCTACCCGCCGATGACAAGTATATCCCCGTGGAGCACAGAACTCAGGGATGATAAATTTACTCCTGCTTGTAAAAATGAAACTCTCCTCAGGGCAATAAAAGTGCTGCGAGCCTTTAAGGAAATCAGTACTTTGTCTGATAACCTACCTTCATGAACAAAGACTGGTCCTCTTGGCCAGGACAGCTCCTCACTGCCAGGCAGAACTGCTCTAATGTAACTGGAAGGGAAGAAACAGCAAAGGTGAATGAGCTCCCTTCCGCCCCCGAGCTCCTCTGGGATGGAGAGGAACACGGTAGTTATAACAGAAACAGGGGGCATGCTACTCCCCGTCTTTCTCTGGTGATGGGATAGATAGAGCTCCCCCTGCCCCCGGAGTGGGTGACTTCTGCCCCACCGTGAGCTGGGATGACAACCTCAGAGCACAGGGTCATGCCCATTAATAGAACTCCATTTTAAACCTCTGGGAGGTCCTGCGTTCTGCCACCAATGACCAGCTGGTCCCCCAAAGACCACCCCCAAAAACCAATCCCTGTTTCATGTGATCTCCATTTAGAGAACCACCTGCCTTTGTAAATTTGGCTGTGGTAGATTTTCTGTCTCAGTCTTCTGTCGTGATGCCCACGGATTTAAGGCCTCTCTTGGTGTGAACATGATAATGGCCCCCAGTGTTGACGCAAGCAAATCCCCCAAACTCCCCTACGTATTTCAAGTCATGTTTCCCCAACCATCCTTCTCCAACAGAATGGCAGAGACAAACTCAGGAAAGCTTACAAAAACAAAAAACAAAAACCTTTTAACGATCCATTTAAGTAGGCCATGAAAGCTCTAGGAATATTAAGTTAGACAATTTACAGAAACCACATTCCCTTTCTCTGTCTTGGTGGCCTGGCTCCCATCAAAAGCCCACTTGTGTGGGCACCCTCTTTTTATTTTGGTCAAACAAAATACCAAACCACACACTGCCTTCCCTGCACACTGTTTTGACTCTATTATTTCACTTTTAAAAATGCTCCCATGAGTCCCTACCACCCTCAGATTTAAATCTACTCGTTCTGACAGGCATTAAGGGTTTAATTTAGTCAACCGTCTAGATGACCCTATTATTTCTAGACTCAAAGCAGTGTTCACTCTCTACCTGCCATAACCTTTCACCACCATCTGCTGGGCACAGTCCCACCACTTGCCTTGAAGCAGAGCAAAGCCCACCCCTCCACCGGAAACTTGCAGGCCTGCCATCCAACCATTCAAAGTCACTGACCACCTCTGGGGTCCAGCCCAACCTCCACAGAGTCCACAAAAGTGGGCAGAGCTACACCCAGCCTCATGACTGAGGGAAGGCCTCATTCCATTGTTCTGACCCCAAGGATGTCTGGATGTCATGTTTACAAAGACAGATATTTTGAAGAGAATTATATCACCAAGAACACATGTTCATCAAGCATTGTCTGGGTAAGTTTTGTGTGTTGTGTTCAATGTTACCTAATTACCTAACCTAATGTTACCTAAACACAAATCTTTAGACAGTTTCTATCTATGACTAAATTACTCTATGCAGTTTTAACGGTTATCAATTGCATCTTGTGCTGATGATTTTTTCCACATCTAAATGTTTGCTCTGATCCAGTCAAAATGTGCTCAGAACCAAGACAGGGATCAGTGTTGCCTGCTTTACATATATATGCCCACCCAGTCATCAATGGGCTAAAACGAATAGTAATTTACATAGAATCATAAATTATTTTAAACAATCAAAAAATTTTAAAAGAGTGAAGAGTTGAAATACAATACTTTCCCCATAAAAGGAGCTCAACAGAAACTCAGCTCGAGATAAGAACCCGGGCTAGGCTGAGTTCATACGAATGTTTTTGCTCTCACCGATTCAAAACACACCCCCTCCATGGAAGACTCTGGAAGCAACAACCTCCCTCCCTGAACATTGTCATCGTAAAACACATGTGACAAAATATTGAACTCTATTGTCTGAGGATGAATCAAGAATAATCTACAAATTCAGGTGCTAGGTTTTCTTTAGACAACCTTTTTTGAAGGTGGCTATTTCATTGGTAAAGGTTTATGCTGTGACTTGGAATCTTCCTGAGTACAGGCCATTGGAATCTAAACACTTGCTACTTGCTGCCTTGGGGGGCTCCTGGATTCTCGCCCTCACCTCTCCTCCTCTGTGGTGACCCCAGAGCCATACCTCCAACTGTCTATGGCTGGACTCCACTGTGACACTCACTTGTTCACAAGACGTGGCAACCAGCCAGGACAGCTGTTTCTTTGAACCAGTGGACTTCCATGCCCCGCCAACCCTTCCCTGAATTTTCCCATTTCTGTGGTACTGTCATCCAGCAGCCAGTAGGCCCAGATCTCTGATTCTTCCTTCCCGTCACTGAGCCTCCTGACGCTTCTTGCACAACGTCTCCCTGATGCACCCCTTTCCCACGGCCCAGCTGCCACTTTGACACTGCATAATGCTTCTGCCTCGTTCCCCAACCTGGATGCCCCGCCCTCCCTCTCCTGGCCCTGTGCCCACTGCTGCCCCCACAGGAACACTCGCACTGCCAGGGCTCTGCCTGCACCTCCTCCCCTCTGCGTCTCAGGCCCTCTTCCCTGGTGCAACCCCCTCCCCTTACCAGCTCCTCACTATCACTAATCCACAGCTGGGTTCCTGGCCACACGATCCGCTCTGTCTTCTTCCTATCTGCTCAAACCCTACCCTTCTGGGCCCAGCCAGTCAAGGCAGAGTCAGACAGACCTCACTCACGGTCTTTACCACCACTCCCAGCCACGTGTCCTTGGATGAACCACATGCTCTCCCTGAGCCTCAGTTTCCTAAAGTCACCTCTGGAGGTGTTGTGAAGGCGAATGGAGAGGCCGGAGGCCAAGGCACAGTGTCCGGCACGGCACTGGCCCCCCGACTCTGCACCCTGGAGAAGCCTTCTCTTTCCCCATCACACGGACTTCTTCCCGGCTTCATACCTTGATGGGACACATTACACACTGGCTTCTTCTCTTTAAATTGTTTTTTGGCTGATAGGTGCACACGCTGCCTTGTCTGAGGAATGAGCCTCCAGAGACAGCCTTGTGACTTTTCCCGAACTCTGGTCTATCCCTGTCTTGTCCAACATGCCCAAAGTCACCACCCAGTTTTGTGGAACTGGACTGAAGGGCCCTGTGTTCCCACAGGGCCCCACAGACGGAGCTTCCCCCTAACTGGCTGGCTCGAGTTCATGAGGCCAGCACCTGTTGCCCCGTCTACACAAGCAACAAAAGCCAACCTTGACAACAGGGCACCAACAGAAGCAGAGCACACGGACTGCCCAGTTGTTTTCCCCTCGCCTTAGATGTCAGTGTGACATAGCTCTCGTGCCAACAGCGAGCTTACCACTCACCTCATCCCACTCTGATTTCTACCAAATCCCCAAAGAGAGAGGGTAGAGACACGACCAGCTCCTCTCCGCCAGGTCTGTGTGGCCACTGCACCTGGGCTACCTAACTCACTGACAAGGCCTGCTGAGAAGCATCTCAACAAGGTTCACATTTCATTCTCCTCCCGCTCCCCTCCCTGACTTTTAAGTAAGAAAAAAAAAAAAAACCCTCTAAAAATGAAAGCATCTGTGGTATCTACCTTCCTCTACCCCTGCTGCTGATTCAACGGGGGCTGACTGCCTGATGAGAATAAGGCCGGCTGCCAAACTCAAGGCTCATGGCCGCGGTGCGAGTCTCCTTCAAAGACTCTGGGTGAAATGTTTTGGATTCCACGTCGATTGTTTTAACTGCTCTTCAGTGTCCCCAGTGCAGTTCCAGCAGGGGGATGCAAAGGCTCCCACAGTCAAGTCAAGTCACACTGTCCCATAGGACAGTCAAGTTCCCTTGGTTCAACCCTTCCACTCAGTGTGACCGAGAGATCGGCCTGACAATAGCGGGAGAACAACAGATTTTGAGATAACAAGTCACTTTGAGGTGGGGGCGGGGAGAGCCGAGAAAAAGTGACCCAATTGAAGTAAGAAAATGAAGTAAGTTAGAAATTGAAGTAAGGAAATGAAGTAAGAAAATGGTAGTTTGGGAGACAAAACTTACAGGCTAGCATGAAATACTTCTGTCTCCCCTTGTGAATATGGGCTGCCATGGGTTCGTAGGTGAGGTCCAACAGCCTCACCCATGTAGCCATTTCTGGAAAGGTAGACAGGACTTTGCAACACGGGAGATCCCTAAAACAAGGAAATGGTTGTACCTAGAATATCTTTCATTATGACATGTTGATGCAAATAAGGGGGGAAAGTAAGACAAACCAAATGCACAATAGCATTAAACTTATGTTTCTCTTTGAACTATGGCTGTAAGATTGAGGAACTCCTGCTAAGTTAACAGACACAAGTGACCTTAAAGATAACATCAGGGGCTGTATTGCTCAGAAATCCTGTCTCGGAATATTCTTTCAGCTTCTCTCTCAATCCCCATGACAGGGTCCTGGAGAACTGGGATCCTGCCCCAGGTGCCAAGCTTTAAAGAGCCTTGCTCGGCCATCCCTCCGGCTGCAGCCTTCCCCATGGGGCAATGGGGGAGTAACTGCCTGGAGTCCACACCCCACTTCTCCAGGTACCCAGGATCCTGGGTTTATAGCTTGAGTCTCTTCATTGGGACTGTGTGTGTGTGTATCCCTAGACTCATGCGGTGGCCAAGGGGCAGCTGTTGGCAGGGTTGGACAAAGACCTTGTGCTTCTAGACTGGAGGATCCACAGAGTGTGGGATGGATCTGGGGGTGGGAATAGTCAGGGATCTGCAGGGCGGATGCTTCTCCCCATGCTGCTGAGTTCACAGAACTTCCCAGAGTGTGAGAATTGTAAATTGGAGCCTGGCCTTCTGGATGAATGAAGCTACATTTGTTCAGGCAGGAGGACAGAGTATATTTTCTTCAACACTTTGTCAGCTTGTTTTATACACTTCCCCTGGGCCCCACACACAGCAGGGCAGGCTTGGAGAACAAAGACCTGATACTAAAACACAGGCTCACCCAAACCTCTTCAAAGCCAGGTGCTTCCATCTATCTCTGGAAAGAGGACACCGGTCCCAGCTGCATCTCTCATCTGGCAGGAGAAGGTTTCACAATGAAGAGAAGGAAACCAGTCTCTTCTTAGGGGCCGCAGAAATGTGGAGGCTGACATCTACCCCTAAACAGAAGGTTTCGCCTGGAGGAGTGTGACAGTGGAGGAC